ATTAATATCCCTATTATAAGGATATTAATTAATTAGTTCGAACCGTAGGTTAACGAAGTAAGTTAATTAATTATATTAATCTACTGCGTAGGTATAAAAAGGAGATTTTAACCGTAGGTTAAGTAGGCTACGATAATTAACTATATAATCGATAGGTGGCCCCTGCGCTGCTGCGAGGTCGAATTAGACTTCTAATCCGACAGTAACGTTTCGATCCACCTTTCTGCATTTGGGAAAATTCTGTGGCCAACACAGCGCAAGTTCATGTTCATTCAAATAGCTCTGCCACCATCGACCTCCAAGTTGACACCAGTGATGAAATTGCTCTCGTCCGAAACCAAGAATACAGAGGCGTCAACTACGTCTTCAATCTCACCCAGTCTTTGCAAGGGGACATTTCCAATGAACTTCTGACGATTTTCCGGTGTGTCCTTCATACCAATGAAGGATTCGAATCTAAAGTACGCATGTGGATGAGCAACAACCAGACAGCTTTGAGGAATTCAACTTACAGGCCAGTTCCAGTCAAAAGAGGACAGATAGAATTCACGCGAATCTTATGGGCACCGTACTCGGCCGCCAGTCCCTTGGTTGCCTGTAATCTGATTAGCCAAGTGTCGTTTATCTATATCAGTCACTCTCTACTTACGTTGCAGACGGCTCCCTTGGAGGCATTGTACCACACAAGACCTGGCCGGGGGCGCAGAGCTCCAATCGAGGAGATGTTGAGCATCACGCCTCCTTCCCCTTGCTTAATGACTCTCGGCATGAACGCCGCGGTCCCGAGGAAGATGCCCTTCACATTGACGTTGAAGACCCTGTCAAACTCGCTCTCCGTTACCTCGACCGTAGGCTGTTGTAGTGGGAAGTCAGCGTATCATGCCCTACGAGTCGTAACTGTTAAGGTTATAGATGTGCGGTAATTCTTACCTTGTTCCTGTAAGTCGTGCCGGCGTTATTCACAAGACAGTCGATTCGTCCGTAGCGCGATTGCGCGGCTTCCATCAACTTCTCCCAGTCCTCAGCATTTGTGACGTCTGCTTTGAAGAACGATATCGAATCGGGAGCGCTTTGCGCTACTCTTTGTCCGTCGCTCTCATTGATATCGGTAATGAGAACTTTAGCTCCTTCTTGGGCGAATTTGTTGGCAATACCCTCACCGAAGCCATGTCCTCCGCCTAAAGAATGTCAGCAAGCCCAAGATATGATTGGAAGTGAATGCTCTTCTACCTGTGATGATGACGACCTTTCCAGCTAGTCTCAATCCCGTCTTGGTGTCACTCATGTTGATTGCTTCTTCGCCTCAGACGTCCAAATCTTGATACAATTTTTGGTGTAGTTGATCAAGATGGTTTACTGATTTTCGCCAAATACAAATACCCTTTTAATATGTCACAATTGTAACCCCTCACTTAAATAACCGTAGAGGTTGTACAGCGCATAGCGTTCATACTGAGACTGCGACAAAGCACATTGCATCATAAGAAGGCGGGGAGGTGCGGGGGTTAGTACGCCGGGCAACGAATTCCGTGTGCCGCCACGGCACGGTCCGGCGAAACCCTTCACGGCTCGGTTATACAGCTCGTTTTCCGTGGTTCTTCTTTCGAATTGAACAGGTGAATATCAACAACGTGAATAGCGCTCGATAGACGCATATTGTCTTGCTCGGGTTTTGGTTGCCAATGCAGTATGCGACTACCAAGCACCCCTCCATATTCAATGGACATCAGCTTGTCATCATAAGGTTCTGTTCATGTACTACATGGTGTTAGGTTCAGCAACAAAATCCACGAGTAATTGTAGATGTCAAAACTCGATTCTTTCCAGGTCAGTTACAGTAGGCCGCGACTCTGCACTTGAATTTCATCTACGCCAGAGCCTCTTGAGAGATTGTCATTCTGTGTTAAGTGCATGTATTTTGTGCATGTATTTGAGGCCAGTATGCGCCGTTTCTCTGAAGTCAGAGAGAGAACGAAGTTCCTGAGGGCGCCTTCCTGAAATAATCGAAGTGAAATTGAAGCGACACCTAGATAAAGCAAGGGTTGCAATGCTCAAGTTGCGTGGCTCTCAGAAAATTGCCAGACTTCCTAGCACTTGCTGCTAAGCAACTTCAGATTGCCGGGATTGAGTCGACTCTCGTTGTTGATGAAGGTGCTCATCCATTAGAGCCCGATTGTCGCACTTCTGGACTGAGATAATTACAAAAGCTTACTAGTGCTAGATATTAAGGCTTTAAGTCGGCTGCCTTGATCTAGAGAAGAGGTAACTAAATTTGCACTAGGCAATCAAGTTGGTCTTCAAGAGTAAAACCTCTGACGACTTGTTATAGGATCATTGCAGTAAAGAGGGAGCATGTGTCAAACTCACCGAGTCAGGTTTCCAAAACCCACTCTTGATGTCACTTCCGAACCCAGCTTCCGAACGGGAAGACGCAGGGGATTGCTGTTCGTCCTAACACATACGCGTTCTAGAAAGGTTTTGCGCTGCCTCACTCGGTCTCCAAAGAAAAGCGTGGGGTCTCACCCCATGATCTCCAAAGTTTCATCTTCCCTGCCAGCGAAACCACATCCATTGACTTCACGACTCCTCAACACCCCACACGACTAACTCCAGCCCCCATATACCCCGCATGGAGCTAGGCATCTGGAAAGATAAGCGGCTCCTGGTCGGGGATTGCCCTGTCTATAAGTCCCGACTACAACAACCGTTCCGCCAAGATGGCTGCGCGGGCCTACCGGTCAAGTCTGCGGGGTGCTCCTTAGCTGAACTCTGTCCGAGGTGTGTTCGGCATCAGGTTTTGAGAGGGTAGGGAATGCGGCAGATGTCAATCTCCATACTTGCGGGCGTTGGGTTCCCGCAGGGGCTTTTCGGAATGTGCTTAAATACCGAGTCCGTCTTATGTGTCGACAGTTGACGACACTATTCAGTCCCTCATCAATCTGTTGTTCTCATCCACCAGACACGATGGCTACTATTCAGCAAACACCTGTGCTGGGGATGACCCCAAGCGTGAATCAAGGTTTCAAGTCTCCGACACAGCATGTCGAACATGTCGAGCACGTGGAAGACAAGGTCACTTTAAGCCAAAAGACGAGTCTGCTTGGATTGAAAAACATTGAGACGGAAGCGTATGTGGTGGATAAGTTGAACGCTGACTTTGAGCTGGTTCCAATTATTCTTGATGAGATCCGGCCAAATGAGGTTCTTGTTGAGATGAAGTACAGCGGAGTGTGTATGTCAAATTTAACGATAACCTGAGAAACATCTCGTGCATTGGTCACTGACAGTACAACAGGCCACACCGATATAGTAACACAACAGGGCGGTCTTCCCTTCGTTGAGTTTCCTGCCATTTTCGGTCACGAAGGAGCTGGTGTGGTCCGTGACATTGGAAGAGACGTCAAGATCAAAGACCTAGCTATTGGTGACGCAGTCCTTCTCTCCTTCAATCACTGTGGATCATGCAAGACCTGCACGAGCGGTCATTCTGCGCTCTGCCCAGAATCGTCAATGATCAACATCAACTCCGTACGAGTAAGTGACCGCAGCACACCAGCTCGGCTAGCTTCAGATGGCCGTGCTGTCCGTAGTCAGTTCTTCGGACAGTCCTCATTCTGCAAGATGTCTGTCGTCAATGAGAAATCAGTGGTCCGGTGTCCTCCGTCGGCGATCGAGCACATGGGCGTCTATGCCCCACTCGGATGCGGACTCCAGACCGGCGCCGGGACGGTCATGAACGTCGTCAAGCCGGGCAAAGAAGATTCCATTATCATTTTCGGACTCGGAAGTGTGGGCCTTGCGGCGTTGATGGCGGCACGCTACCTCGAAACCGGACAGATCATTGCCGTCGACATTGTTCCCGAACGCCTTGTGCTTGCAAAAGAGCTTGGAGCCACTCACACTATCAACTCGAGAGAATGCAGCGACGTAGTCCAGGAGATCAAGAAAATAAGCAATGGGGGTCCAACATTCGCTGTAGAATGCACTGGAATCTTAAAGGTCATTGAAGACATGATTGCTTGCATCGGTCCCCTTGGCACAGCTGTCCAAGTTGGGGTACCGCCTCCAGGAGCCACAATCAAGCTCGACCCGCAAGAGTTCCTGATTGGGAACAAGAAATATGTTGGCATAATTGAGGGAGATGCGGTTCCTGCGGAGTTCATTCCCAGATTGATCTCCATGCACCAAGAAGGCAGATTCCCCATCGACAGGTTAGCTGGGTTTTACCCAGCATCACAGTTGAACCATGCCATACAAGAAATGGCTGCCGGAAAGGCGAGTTGTCTTAGCTTCCGCCCACTTTCTTCGTCTTATTCGAAAACTAACCAAACTTTAAAAGGTCATCAAGCCCGTGATTCAATGGGGTTAGCCCAACATCGATGTGGTCAGGTAGACAAAGCGATAAACATGGCTGGACTAAAGAGGCCTCGAACAAATGATCGTCAGCGGGGTACATATTTTTTGGCATAGAGATATATCTTTCGACTTGCTCTAGATCTGATTTCACCGCACACTTCCATGGGGTCCTGTGGTTAGCTAGCAATGTGAAAGCGCCAGGCTGGCTGGCTGGCTTGTCGATCCTATCTCCACTGATTCAAGGGTTGGTACGAAGTACGCCAAGACAATGATTGATCAATCTTCGAGAGACTGGTCTCGCCTAAGAAGTGAAAACGTATGTCTAAATCAAGCGTCGTCTGCAACTCAAATCGGCCCCAATTGCCTGGAAAAGAGATTGTGCCGTGTCTCATTAGATCGTACAACGCCGCTGAAAGCCAGCCAGTGCCACAAGAATGCGTCTTACTTCAGCCCTGCAGTCAAATAACTAGACCCTGCCGCAAACGGCTTTCATCACCATTGATTACCGCATTCTCCAAGTCCATGCAAGATGACTGTCTCACGTGGCCTCTTAGAGCATCTATCGTCCAAAACAGCCATGTATACCGCGGCGGGATCGGTCCGGTCCCGCACTGGAGAAGCCGTTTTTCGAATGCCGGGAGTTAGTGTACTTGTTCCCGCCGAAACTGATTTTTCCATTCTCATCGCGTCTAGCGGAATAATATCTTGGAAACCTATCGCGTGTCTCTACGGCCGTTGACAGAGTCATAGGAATCGTTGGTACGCAACACGCAAAGAAGTCGAATTAAAATCACATGCTTCCCCTAAGCTAGCTCTATGACAATATCGATGCTCACCATCACTTAGTAGTGATCAATTTTGGAGGTGCCGAATGGAATGATAGCGGCGGTGGCCGACTGGGTCCCTCGTCGTCTGAACCCCAAAAGTTCAACTTTGCAATAGCCATGTTCGTCTTCTCCTTCATGTCATCTCCATACACCCACAAATGCTTCATCTTTCTTGTGGAGTTCTTAAGGTGTTCCTCTGCCTTGTTCTGGAGGATGGGTGCCGTCTGTAATGGAGCAACCCAACCTGTTTCGTCTGTCGGATCGTGATGCAGACAAGCCGCCAGCACGATCGATTTGAGGGAGTCTCGGCTACTGAAGTCTCCTGCCAGGTCTTCCCATCTCTGAGCGGCAAGATCGTCGGCCTTGATGGATGATGTGGAACTGCGCGCGGCCACCCAAACTGGCAACCGGCATTCCAATCCCCATCGGTCTTCTTCAGAATTCACGTCCCACCCACGAAAGATGACGGCCTTTCCGCGGACCTCGCCAAGAAGTGGCCATTTTTTACCCGTGTACAGCAGCTTTTCTTTCTTCATATCCCTCTTGAAGTCTTTGTTGAAGTTATTTGGCACATCGTCATAATTGATGCTGTAACCTTCGGACCAATGCTTGGCGGAGTCATACGTCGCGGACGCGGATGAGAAACTCAGCATGATCATGACCGTTTCATCCTTGTTTTCTTTCAAGAAGTCCCTGACATGATCAAGTACGTCGTCGAGTTGCTTTTCAAGAACCAGGGGGCCATGTCGCAGTCTGCGTTCTCCGTCACAGCGCAAGTCGAGTAGTCGAATGCCATTTTGCAATTGAGTGCGAATACTGTCCTTATGGCATTTGTGCATATTGAGCAACTTTGACTTCAGCTTCTTGTCGCTAATTTCTGGCTCAACGTCGATATTCGCGACATCATTGATCCAATACGTTGAGGCACTGCTGCAACGAGTTCCCGGTAGGGTCAAATCCTTTACGCATAGTTCGTCGGGGAGATGCTTCATCCAGGATTTGGCACAGAATTCAGTTCTGTCTGCGTGTTAGATCGAGGGAAGTCGCGCCATGGTTCAAGACTGTTATGCTCACTTGGACTGCATGACACCTTGCCGCTTCTCAAAGTCAAAGCCGGCCGTTGAGCCCACGTAATCCCAGTAACTATCAATTGTAAGCTAATGTCACCGGAGCTTATGATTCGGGCAATGTAAACTCTGGAACTCACTTGGTTGCTTTCATGTACTTGTTGCGGTATTGAAAGGCCCCCTCGATGATAATGTAGTATTCGAAATGATGCGTAACAGTAGTGAGGTTCCAGCGATTACTGAACTGGATAAGTTCAACTCCCTTGCGAACCCATCGCGTTCCGGGCAGAAGCTTGAGAGATCCTCCATCAGAAGCCCAGAGTACGGCATGGTATTGAGGGTTCTGCGCCTGCAAGACCTGCAGTCTGTTCAGGACAGGGCTTTTCGCGCTTGTCGGAAGTCCCACGGCCATAATTGGATTGTTGATTTGTTGCAAGTTGAAAATCAATGGAAATGCTACCGCAAGTGAAGAATGAACTGATACCTTGAGCCCCGAGACAGGACTATATAGATGCTCACGGCAATGTCATTTACGCTGCTTTAGATGCATCTTTCTCATGTCACACTGGCCTGGCTCATAGGTGACAAAAGTCTGGGGTAAGACAACCTGCATTCGTCCAGCTGAGCTGAATACGCCAAGAAACCAGCCCATCTCTCACACCATGCGGCTGAGCCGTAGTGAGACAAATGATTGACAGAAGTCTATCCAGGCCGTTTCCGGTATGGATCATTCGTGGTTACGGCAGGTACGCACGCGACCATAGAAACGATGGTGAGTGTCCAATGCTGGGAGCCTGGAGCCTGGAAGTACTTGACTGGGACGATGACTGCGCCTCTGATACAAAATAGACACTGCGACGTTACTATGAGCCTGGAGCTCCATGATACTGACCAGCCACCTTCTTTGAACTTCTATACCACACTTACTTATCATGGAAAGCGTTTACAATAGTCGCCCTTCGTCACCAGGCGCCAGAACCTTCAACGGTGCTACGAAAGGCCCATCTGACTCGGGCACGATTGTGAAGTTTCAACGAATAGACAAAGCAGCACCTACGTCATCTTCTGGGGCGAAGGCTGATGCCACGTCTTTTCCAGTGACGGGAAGCCTTGTGGGAACTATCGGATTCGCCGTGCTGTTGAAGAAATGCGGCTTCAACGCCAACGCCAACGTTGGGATGGACGGTGTCACCATGGCTAAGATCAAAGAGGGGATGGTTGAAATTGGTCTGGCTAAGGAGTTTGACATATGGAGTTCTCCGTCGTCTATGCTCCTTGACTATGACCTTACTCTTTCGGAATACGTGGAGCAGGTATCGAAGCTTACGAAAAGTCCCGAGTTGGATGTGAGAATTTACTACGGTCTGAAGAAGGATCACAACACGCAGACAGTACAGGACATCTACAAGACTGGAGATTTTATCATCAGGATCGTCCAAATCAAGAAGGATAAGTCGCAGGCTATTCAAGCTCTCAGAGTGATGAAGTCGCCTCCAAAAGATGCACGTGCAAGCGGCGATATCATTGATATCCAGGACCTAGGCTCTCGGACACTCTGGGACTTGAGAGACGGAATTAGCGCAATGCAAGTCTACTGTGTTATTGACTCACTCTTTATTTCCACTTCTAACATCACGACATTAAGGTCGCAACTGAAAGATAAACATCACTTCTGCCTGCCGGATGAAACCCCTCTCTCTGATAGAACCAGATTCGACGACTACATCAATATGCTTGTAAGTCAGAATCCCTTTCAATTTTACCTTTTGAACATCCAGACCTAAACCATAAATCAAGGATGAGACATGTCCATATGAGAGCAGCGTTCCATCGATCAACCTCAGGTTTAAAGACGCTTCATCGTCTTTCGACGAAGACAAGCCAAAGACAGTTATGACAGCTTCGGGTGGCACTAAAGCAGTTCAAAAGGCTGAGGTACGACACCATGAATCTGGATCTTACTTGATTGACTGACACAGTTTCGCCATAGACCTCTAGGTTAGAGTGATCTATTCCAAGACGTTTGACATCAACCTTGATTCACGATTGATACCTAACCTCCAAGTCCAGTATCTCACCGTCATCACTCGATGAGTTGCAATGGGAACTCGTCATGAATAACTGCCAAGTCATGCACGGCTGGTATTATGACCCCGTCAGCACTGAGATCAAAATGGCACCAAAACCAGGTTCGTTATTGATGTTCGACAATGCAGGCTTCTACTAATAGTTGTATAGCATTCCGTCTCAAGTCAGGTTTGAATCTTGACTACAGCCCAGATAGCACAGTCTCCACCGCAGAAGTTGAGAGCGCCATACCCAACTACGGGGTCACGGACGGTTCAAAAATTGATGTCGTCACTACTGAGAGCGGAATCAAGCACTCTCTTGTTCGTAACAGCTTTGACAAGTCTTCTATGGATAACAAAATCGCTCTTGGTTACTCAGGAATCGGTATCAACGTGGCTGGCGGAAGGTCCTTCGACTCCCAAGGTGAGCAGTCGTCAGGGAGCAACAGGTCCATCAAGAGCATGATCGGTATATACAAGGTAAGCAGCGCGCTACCAGAACTAATTTACTTGACTTCACATCGCTTATAACCGCCTAGCTTCCCCGAGCCACTTTGTTTCTCAACGCGGATGATCTCGTTCCGACCAAAGCATTCACAGATGGCATTAAAAAGATCAAGGAGCTAGGCGAAGAAGCAGACGAGACAGACGTTCGCAAGTTCTACGAAAGATTCGGTACGTGATGGCCCAATGCTTTATGTTTCTGCCTCATACAGGGTAAAATCTGTTGAAACCTCATAGGTCAGTTTTTCTGCCACGAGGTTATTCTCGGGGGGATGTTGCTCTCGACAAAAGCCTTGGTTGGCAACGAATCCCTGGACGAAGAAAAGAACCGGTGCTCCTTCAAACACGCTATCGGAATGTCTGTCTCTTCTGTATGCATACTATCTGGAACAACTTTAGTCCTCTATCGAGTACCCCGAAAACTGACGACTAATTGCAGCCTGTGGAAGTCATTATTGGGGCGGAGTCAAAGAGAGAAAACGCATCGGGTGCCGATCAGAGCATTGTTCGCAGCTACAAAGACAGCGATGATAGCGTGGTTTTTGAAGCTGTTGGTGGGAATACCATCTTGGCTTCCAAGTACAAGGCTTGACCTCCGAGACTCTGTGCATAATCTGACCGTTTTACAGTCCACAACAATGGTGTGCAACTGTTGGTGATCACAACAATTGGCGGGTCATAGGGGTAAGAACATTCTCTGACGTTGGTGTGATGGTAATTCACTTTTTGTCTAACGTCTTACAGAGACAAGACATGAAGTTGATCCTCGACTCATTCAAAGATAGTGGAGATCATAAGCTCCAAGACGTCGTCGACTTGTTCACTAAAGCATCTCAACTTACTGTCTCGAAGTTCATTGATATTCCAAAATCTGCGAAAATCATTGCGCAATTTCGTTTCAAGACGAAGAGTACAAATGCGGACAAAACACACTACCTTCGTCATGACATCTACAACATCATTGACTTTGGACCTCAGTCTGCGAGTGAGCAGAGGATCATGCCACAGAAGTAGGTTGCCATCCTGGATCATTATGCAATTTCGAAACATGAACTAACATGGGCTATATCGTTAGATTCCAGGGGCCACGAGTCGAACCATACGACCCTTCATGGCAAGATCAAGATGGTCTCTGGACCATAGCTCCAGTGGTGGGAGCTGGATTATGTTGTCATGGGAGTCAAGGGCGATCGCAATTGGTCGATGGCTCTAGGGTAACTATCCGCTCCGGACGCGATTCGCAAACCGCCTGGTATCTCTCCGTCCTCAGAACTTCGGCGGGAATCTTCGTTCCCTGCATCACGACCTCGAAGCACTTCGTATGGAGAGTCCGAGAAGTTCTGAAGCCCAACACCAAGAGCACCATTGCAAAAGAGCCGTCACCGGGCAAACGACTCAAACACGACGCGGTTCTGTGCTTGACTTTTGACTTTGAGGACAACCCCAGAGGCTACCGAGACTTCAAAGACGACGATCGCGGCTTCAGGAATGTAGAGTACCCGGACAAAGACACCACTCAGTTGGTGCTTGTTGAATCTCGAAACAGGACGGATATTTGGCCGGACCGCAGAGTTCTCCTTCTTGCTGACGGAGAACCCTTTTTTACAGAGTCAACTGCCAAAGTCGCGGACTTGAATGATTCCGAGATCTCTGTGAAAATTGCAAAGTTCAACATCGACGTCCGTGGTAAGTTCCCTCCTGTGTTACTGTTTCTTTAGAACACTGGATGGCTGACTTGCACTTACCTGCGCGGCATAGACCAAATGGATGACGACTATGATATCTTGCAAAAGGATGGCGATTCCATCAAGGCGAGACACGATGAGCAGCAGAAGAAGTTGAAGGCCAGAGATGAGGGGTCCTCGGGGTAGTCGTTCACTCGCAATTTCTTTTGAGATAGCAGACTAGGATACGTTTAAACGTTTATTTGGGGATAAGTACAGGTTCCTTGTGATTTTTGGAAAGACTTTTTCTTAGCCCCCATGTCGCTTGTTATCTCTGTGACTCAAAGTCGAATTTGCGTCGGAGGGGTATGTACAGATGTCATGCTGCCTCGAGGTTGGGTGCAATCGACTTCTCAAGTACTGAGGTAGTATGGATCAACTTGAATTCGAGTATGATTTCTTTGATCCCTCCATCACGCAATAAAAGCACCCTACGCCAAAGTCACCCAAGCCCTCAAAGTTCCCCCCAGGCCATTTCATATCTTGCCTCTTCGTTCGCATACTACAATCCGGGTCACTTGAAGTAACATCAGCCCAAACTCACACACGTAAGAGAGAAAATTCAAGCAGCTTGGAAACTCACAAGAAGAACTTGCACATTGCACCTTCGCCTGGACGAGCGGACTTGACTTTGCCACCCCAATCACAGTTAGGGTACGTCTCCAGGCCATCTCGGAAACAGGCCCACCAGCAATCGCCTTTCCAGTCCTTTTCGGTACAGAGATGAACGGAGACGCAAGGTTGGTCCTCGCGCCTTTCTTTAACTGCTCCGAGGGGATCTCTATGTGTTCCATCTGTCGAAATCTTGGAGACGTGGATGGTCGGCGATAGGGGTAGGAGATTGTCCCAGTGCTCTTTCTCTAGTAGAGAAGCACGGGTAAGATTGATCATCGTTGACATGGAGGGATCAGCTGCGGCGATCATGCAATTGAAGGCAATGGCGTAGATGTATAGATTGACAGCCAACATGGTGTTAATGGCGAGCTGTTCAGAAACGAGTGAATCGGGAGCGAACTGTCGGTGCGGTAGACCTGGAGAATCAAAACGACATCAGTCAACCAGCACCACGGCCTTATTTCATCTTATCCTATGGTCTACTCAACGGTTTCTTGGGTAGCATCTCTCATGGCCGACGTCTTTGACAGTAAGTACAAGGAAACACCTCTCGATTATGCAAATCCCAGAAATGGCACAAAGAACGACGTAACCTATCAATCACTCGAAGTCGCACATGACTACAAGGATGGCAAACCTCGCATCAGGGATGCCTCCCCCTTTGAGAACTTCGCTCCCTTCCTGTCCAGGGAGCACTCGGGGCCTTCGAATCCGGACAGCAAGAGCTAGGTCGGTAAGATCTCACTGAATCAGAAGCAGTGGCAAACCCTTTCACTTGATCACTTGAAGAATTAGGTTCTTCGCAGTAATTCAGAATGCGACGTCGACTCTTCGAAAGTTGCACTTTCGCATTCCTCCGAAGCTGACTCCTCAAAATAGCTTCATCTGAGACCGTCAGTCTTGCCTTTACACTGAACCAATCCAATGACCCCCCATCGTGGAAGTTTGTCTCAAGAAGACTTACCGATACGAAGTTTCCCCCAACTCGCAGGGCAAAGGTTCAATCTCTTAGGTCAAGCCGATGCAAGCTCAACCAAGCCAAAGACGAGCCGTGCCACCACCTCCAAGTAAGCCATCAAGCCACCACGATGCAAAGCCCACGATACTCTAATAGGACGCCTCTTTTCGACTCCAAAAGTGCTGATTGGTCACGAGGTTTCAGCTCCAGAGCTGAGCCTCCTCTACACAACGCTCGTCATACCCCAACTCCAACAAACAAAGTAGAACGCCTTGCGGAGACTTTTTAAACATCATCGCGTGATGGGGTAGAACCGTTTAGGTCTTGAAGCTCTTTGGACGATGTTCGTATACCGCTTCTCAAATTAAGCTTACAGGGCTACTGGATTCATGTAGCCTATTGCCTCGAGATGAGGGGTTAGAAGAGTCGTTTGTAGGGCTGACGGAGACCTCACCCGAAGGCTGAGACGTTGGGAAGCCAAGTCGGGCTGTGTCAGTTTACGAGAATATGTCGGTGAGAAGGCCGTAAGGCGATACCTCGAGAGGGCTCCTGGATCACCATGTGTAAGACTTTCCAGAGCTAGAGGAAGCCACGATGCTTTTCAGATGTGCCCGATACCCGTTGGCTGCAATAAGTCTTGATGTGAACGATCTGACTTCGTTCCCCATCGTGTAGAAAGAAGCTATAAATATGAGAAGGGTCTCCTATCTTTCGAGATGCCCATCTGCCCTCATCACCACCGTCTCCAGCTCATAGAATACCACCACCTCACCAAATCCAACTATCTTCAATCCCATCCCACAACCACCAACCATCGATCCTCACCAAACCTCCCCCAAAATGTTCCCCAAGACCGTCCTCGCCCTCCTCCTCACCGTAACCTCCGCCCTCGCCTCCCCCCTCGAAACCCGCCAAGCATCAACCTACTTCACCCCCTCCTCAACCTTCACCTACAACACCAGAACCGGCGCCATCTCCCCAACCTACGGCACGGCCGTCGTCTCCAAATCCACCTCCAACGCAGGCAACGACCTCACCGCCCTCCTGACCTTCACCTACCCGCCCGCCGCCGCGGGTAAAAAGTGTCAGTTCTACTTCTACCTCGACGCCGCCACCTCCAGCGTCTCGGGCAGCCGCAAGCTCGACGTCTTCACCTCGCTGAAGCCCGCGCCTGCCGGCGGCTCGCCCGGCTGGGGCGCGGGAGGACCCGGGAACCAGAGGAACGTGAATATCGGGCGGTTGTCTGTTGCTGCGGGCGGGTATGCTACGTGGGATGCCACGTACGGGGCGTACTTGACTGCGCCGACGGATTGCAAGGCGCCTGGTACCGTGGAGGGGTTCGAGCTTGTTGGTGTTAATGACAATGACTATGTCTCGTGGAACACGCAGGTTTCTGGGGCTCGGATTGCTTACTTCTGAGTTGCTATCTTCTTGGAACGCGAATGGGTGTGGGGGTGACGGGGGAGGAGAGAAATGTATTCGATTCTTCGTCGCTCATTTGACCTTCTTGTCACATGTTGATATTTGTTGGAGAGGATTTGGCCTAGGCTTGCTTTGTAGAGAAGGGTGTCAGTTGTGCCTTACCTTACACTCCCTTGTAGCATATTGGATGTTCACCACTGAATTATTGCTTCAATGCTCTGTCTGGTTAACAACCTACTTGTTCTTAAGTCGCCCAACAGTGATTGTCAGCTCTAATGTCTACCCAGGGCCCTCCACAGTGATTTCTATCATCAATGCAGCGGACTAGAACTTGTCCATTACCACTTCTCTAGTCACAGATCTACACCGTTCAGATACAGAGCATCTCTTTAGTTCTTTAATCATACCCGGTACTCCATTCGTCTGGCGGCATCATATCCCCCACGCGTTCGCCATGCCTTTAAGAACCTTACAGTCCCCCTTATGTTTCTTCCAATCCTCCTTCTGGCATTCCTACATCGTCGATCAACGTCAGCACATCCGCAATACAACATCACGCCCAACCAATAAGCGAGAGATGGGGAAGAACAGCGCTCAAAAGAACAAAACTCACCTTGCCACAATACCTCGCAACAACACAAGCGGTACAACTCTTCAACGTCTCACCCTCCCCAGCCCCCTTCCCACACCCAGCACACTCCCTCAACCACCGTCCCCCATCCTCCCTCACCCTCGCCCCCAACTCCCCAATCTGCTCCAGCCCGCCGGGGATATACTTCACCCCCGTCCCCTTCCCCTCCGACACCCTGACAAACCCCCTCTTCCCGCCCTTAGGCGCCGTTCTCACCCCGCGCGGCACGACAATCGTCCACCCGCCTTTCACGGGCCGCAGATCGATGCCGCGGTCCTCAAACGTGACGGCGAACTCTGTCTGCTGACGATCGACGACCACGAGCGTCGGTTTCGTGATGGTCATGTTTTGTTTTACCTGCGCTATGAGGAACCATTCTTCGCGTGCGTCGTGGGATGACGCAGGTGGTCTCGTGACTGCTGTCGACGATGATGAGGCGGATGATTTGGCGGTGCCGGAGCCGGATTGTGAGTCCGTGTAGGATGGGGGGTCGGAGGGCGCCGGCGCGTAGGAGGGCGGCTCCGAGGATGCGGCGTACGAGGGTGGATCGGCGGCGCCGGGTTCCTCGATGGGGAGGCCCTCAAAGATTGGGAAGATTGCCTCGTTGGCAAAGTCCGGGATCGGCATGCTTACTGAACTCCCGGTTGCTTTCGGGCCTGAAGTGGCAGGGAATGTGACAAGACAATGAGACTCTTAATGAAGGGAGGAAGTAAGATGCCCAATCAATGTGAGAAGAGAAGGCCCGAAATGAGCTAAGGCAAATTGAGAAACGTTGTCAACAATAGTCCTGTGAGTTTCACTGAGAGGTTGGATGAGGGAGAGTGTGAGTGAACGATTGATTGGTGGGGGTGTGAGATTGATTGACCTGAGAGAGGGATCGTCCATGAGTCTCTCCCGCCCCGTGATTGGCTAAGCGTATCCCAGCGGAGAAACTTCAAACACCAAAAACTGTCAAACGCCAGAAAAATGATCGTACCGGAGAAACGTCGGCCAGAACGACCAAAGGGGACTGGGCATTTTTTCTAAAATTCCTTCTCGAACGTCTAGGCGACCGTAATGCCATGGCCCATGGCTACCTTTGCTGAAACGGTTGCCGCTGCAGGATAAGGACGACAGCTTTCGAGATGACGTAGACTGTAACGTCTGGTCCGAGGGGGGAGAAGAACCGTCCGATATGCTCAGCAGTGCGAAGCAGCAGTGCGCCAGCGCCCAAAGTTTGCGTGTGCAGATGACAGGTCCAGCGCCTGAGCCCAGCGAGGGCCCCAACTTCGGATGAGATGGCGTCATGGCGTTGGTGGACTTCTATGCGGTCAGTTTCAGCATGTGCCCAAGACGGCTGGCCTGCTCTGGGCACGATGAAATAGACACGGCGTGCGCGATATTCGATCATGGTTCATTTTGACAAGAGCGTCTATTTCTAGGAACCTATGTGTGTCGTAGTATAGCTACATTATAGACTATAGTGACCCCTCACTATCGTGAGCTATCCAGTGCCCATTACTACCGCAGGGGAGTGTGAAGAATGGAACCAAATCCAACAACCGCATTGCCCAATGTTCGCTTTGGGACAAATGTACAATCGTCAACGCCAAGTAAATACAATCCCAGGCCGTCCTTGGCCTCGACGCCGGTATGTCCCTATTGCGAGTATGACTCGCCAGCAGGACCGTGGTGCTGCTACATGTCAAGAAAATGACGCAGAAAATTCAAGTCGTTATGTTGCGCTCATCAACCCATTTACGCTCCGAAACTCATCCAGCCAAACGTGCCGGCCGCACATCCCAGAACCAGGAAGGTCAGGATGCCAGCGCCGGCCTTATCTGCCGTTGTGACTGGCGTTTCTGTGCCGAGTAGATTGTCCGAGTGACTACCGGCGTTGGGGTCTCCCTTGGAGATACCACCAGTGGTGTTTGTTACTGGTGCCTTGACATTGCCGATGAGCAGAGATGACACGGCGCCGAGCACGTTCATCTGTTGACCGGCTCCCTTGGTGCCGTCGTACACGCCGGAGCTCCATTTGAAGCCACACGTCCGTTGGTTGTCCTGCCCTGTACACTGCTTGATAGCCGCGTCTGCCGACGTCTTGAGAACTGGGAGAATTTTGTCGGCAGTGTAGGGTGCAATCTGCGTCGTGACCGACATCCATCGAGCGACGTAGCCCTTGAAACTCAGCATATCGGTTGTGCAGGTGTTGTGCTCCTCGCAAGCAATCTCGAATGCAATGTTGTTGGGGAAGAAAATTTTCAAAGTTCCTTCGATAAGACCGTCCAAGCGTGTCTTCCACGCGTCGGCGCCGTCCGTCTGGGTTGAAGTTAATATCAAGCTCATCTAGGTTCATGAGTAGAAGCCACTTACGTAGTTGTACATCATGGCAGCGCCGAGGATGAAAACGCCGTTGTTGTAAGAGAACTGGGCCTTGTTGATATCGGTACAATTCTGCTCAACGTGACCACCATCGTAAATGTTGTAGTCGGCATCGATGAAACCAACGGATGTCATCCAGTCCCAGGTTTTCTCGGCCCAATCGGCATACGTTTGGTTCTTGGTGTACCGGGCTAGTCTGGCACCAATGTTGAAGAAACAGCCGTTTGCGATACCTATAAGCAATCAGTATCAGGTTCGTTGGAGGACGTGAGCGTCAGCATTACTATTCTTGTAGTTGTATCCGTTGTTGGAGAGAGGAATCTGCCAGCGGAGACCGCCGCCGCAAGTGTTATCGTGTCTGTCGGGACTGGCCATGGTGTTGAAGACAGCTTGGGCGAGAGCCAGCCATTGAGCCTCATCCTCGGGTGGGTTAGGGAAACCGTCCTCGGCGGCAGTCATGGCAGACATGCCCCAGAATCCTTGGTCATCGTTACCCAGCGAGGCAGTGTAATTAGGAGGCATGTAGTCACGGTCGGGTCCGACCTGGTGAAGCATGGCCTGCATGACAACGTCGTTGTAGGTAGAATCTCCAGTCAAGTGCCAGTAGTCGATCATAGTTCCCCACATGGCACCAGCTTCCCACCAGTAGTAATCACCCGCTGGCGGAGGACCAGGCAAAATACCGGGCGTGTGGCCAGTCAAGTTGCCATCGTAGAAGCTCATGAGGTCGTAGGCGAGACCTTTTGTGGTGGCCTTGATGTCATCTGGGCACGGCGTTAGTAAGGCGATAGACCGGGGCCTGTCGAAGGCTCGAGTTGAGGGATGAATGTACCGTCGGAAGCGATGGAGTATGCGGCGCTGGCGAAACCGCTCGAGACGAGAAGCGCTGTCGCAGCGCGGGCGACGGAAGAGAATTTCATGGTGGTTATCGTCGAGCGACGTTTGCGTTGATTTGAAGCGAGCGACTGGTTGAGAGGTGAGAAACGAGACGGGAAATTGAGAAAGAAAGTCAATTCCCTCGGTGCGGCGCGATCGGACTAGGGTCGTATCATGCAAGTATTGCGAAGCGAGTCGAACGAGAAGAATGGGCGAAGAGTCGTGGAAGTGCCAGCTGTCGAATATCGCTGCTGGAAGTCGTCGGTATGGGTTTCTGTAAACAGGCAAAACGAGGGTTGGAGGAGAAAGGAGATGAACGGGGACGTTGGAGGGAGAAGGAAGACGAGGAGGGAGGGCCGGGAAAGAAGGAGTGACAGCGAAGGGGTGTGGTGTGGTGTACACTGGCACTAGGTGACTAGGTACTCAAAAGTCAGGTAGCTGGGACGCCGGGCGGGTGCAAGTGTGAGAAATGGAAAGAGGATGCCGGGATGGTGGCTGTACCGGGGACATGGAGGACGGGCAGTTATTTGGTGGTAGGCAAGGGTCACGTCAAGTTGCGGTACATTCACATTTGTCTGCATGCCTGGGGAGTCAAGGACGAGCCTACGAGGCAGGGCAGCGGGAATAAATGGACAGCACCAACTCAGGTTCTCGCTGTCGCAGGAATGCGGAATTGGAAAACAATGACCAACGCCTTTCTTCGTCCACCGATCGTCGAGCGTTGGCCGGTGGCTGCGCCGGCAATGTGACGTCCATCAGGTGTTGTACACTCGTACGTCGTCCATCTGCTTTTTCTACTCGTGTGTCAATGCATCCGACAGCGACACCACAGGATTCGTAGCGTCAAGTTCCTGTGCTTCCGCGACGGCAATTCGTGCAGTGCCCAGGCGCGCCAAGTCGCCAGCGTGGAAAATAAGCAAATTCCAAGTTTTCCAGCGTCTTGTCCCGTAGTCTTGGCGATCCAGGGACAGGGCCCGAATGCCAAGAGACTGGGGGTATCCGTACGGCAGACCTCGCAGTAGGTAGCGTATGGCGTCAAGGCCGAATCCATTTGTCTTGGCCGTTGATTGTGTTACTTGTTCATTGAAACTCCATGAATCCCTACTTTTGTAAGTATTTGGGTAGGTATTATTGAGGCATTACGGCACAATTGAGGACAGGCGAGTCTGCTCTTTTCGGTTCTTCCTCGTATCCATACGATGCTTGACAAGTACCGGTACTTCCCACGAAATGGACGGCGTTGCAAGAGGGAGCAGTGGCGCGCCGCCAACTTCCCTCCATGGCAGGACAACAAGCCCAAGGGGGAAAACCCCTGATTCAAGATCACGAGTAAAGTCACATGATTTTGCTGTCAACCAATTGGATTGATGGCTCATTGGTAGAGTGCGCGGCCTTCCCTGTTTTGGCCCCCCTTTTCCTGAATGATGAATTGCGGGCCTCGCCTGGTCCTGAGGAGGTCATAGGTGGATGGAAATAGAGTGCCTTTTTTGAGTTGCTGCTGTCTCCGTCATTGCCGTCGGGTCCCGAATCCCAGCCAAACTGTGCTGTATTCAATTCCTCTCACAATTTCACACTACAGCGCTTACAGCAAAATGGCGTCGCCCCTCGAGTTCCAATCTCCAATCCAACGAACGGTCACGACCAATCCTTCTCAATAACACAAACCACCACTAAAACATCCTTCAGCCGCCAAGCCATTCAACCCAAAGAACAAGCTTTTCGTCCACCAGATCGCCTTCTCATCGGGTCTTTGGGGTCCTTGGCTCTGCTAGCTCCCTTGCTGCCCAGCACCGCCCCCCTCGTGTCGCCCATGTCCAAATGGTCGCCCTCCCGCGATCTACGCGCCTGGGCATTCCCTTGGCAAGAAATTGCAGAATCTTGCGCTGGGACCATTCAACATGCCCCTTCCTGCTAGCTATTGTGGCTTGGGCGCCCTCTTGGTCAATATTCAAGGGAAAAGTTTGCTCATGACAAGCAGGCGGACGACTCGTGCTTCGGTCCATGCACACTTCTAAAATGCTCATATTTCATCTGAGATATGTTTCCCCTCCTGCCCGGCATGCCTACTACAAACCTCGGACGGCGGCAAGCACACAGGGAATGAAGCCGTCATCTGCGCGCACCGACAGCGTGGCTTTGCTGCCGCTAATAAACATCCGATGCTTTTGCAGGCGAAAAGGGGCTCGGCTGGCTAGCTCCCCTGGCTGATTGACTTCACCTCATCAAGCTGATCCCTCTTCAGCAACGCCTTGTGCCTTGCATAACCTGGTCTTTTAACGAATAACAATCAGCATGGAACATATCTTTGCCAAGGCACCAAGCTGAACCAGCTTCGATGAACGCCCAGTAGGGCTGAACCTGTCTATCCCAATCACCTCGAGATCTGCCAGTCGCCAAGACCGAGCTACTATGCGCCCTCCCGCGGATCAAAAGCCTTGGGGTCTTGGACGTCCTGTCAACTGTTGCATTCAAAGTTCTGAAGAACCCGACACGGGTCTCTTGACAACGTCAAATCTCTAATTTGGGTCAGCCAGAGCCGAGTCCGCACCGCCCCTCCGCACTCCACCACGAATCGGCAGCAGTCTTCCGTCCCCAGAGACCCTTGCCAAAGCTCCCCACGGAGATAATAACTGGAACGGAGAGACGACTCTGGGAACTGGTCCCTGTGAATGTAACTCTAAGCCATATCTCTTGTCCAGAGGGTATTCCTTCAAGCAAACGTCTGAATTCGAGGTCTGATCAATAATTGAGACAATTCGCGCTGTCTGCAACTTCGGATGCAGCAAGGCTCTGGGGGTCAAGACTCGAAAAGAAGACGATCAACAAACCCAGACAGCTCAGCAAGCCGCAAGCACTAAGGCACACCCTTCGGAGATCCGCGTGCAGGTCCTGCGCACGATATGAGTCAGCACAGAATCCAAGTCTTCAACCAATTACAAGCCTTGTTGGCTAAGTGGTATAGCGTCTCACTAGTACTAGTGACATGAGAAGATCGGCGGTTCGATTCCGCCACGAGGCATCTCTTTTGGCATTTCTCATCATTTTTGCATCGTCAACAACGGCAACACGTTGATTGATGGATTGATCAGATCTAATTAGGTCCCCGAAGCTTGCTGCGACCCACGGATACGAGCCAAGACATAGAGGCCCATGCGTAGGTAGTTGTTGAGACTCGTGAAAACTCCGACATCAGTGACATCTATCTTGCTCATCTTGGGCTGGAATGTGTGAAGGATAAACGCCATTGGTATTGCTAACTGATAAATCACTACTCGAAATAAGTCCAGCTCAGAGTCTCGTAGTTCCCTTCGAATCCTCTCGAGCATACAGAGCAGCTGACAACTCTCAAGCCGCCATGGCCTCATCCCCCTCCGCCTCATCCTCAATCTTCGTCTTGATCAACTCATATAAAATATCGGTCCTCATCGTATACTTTGTCCCCTTGACAACATCATCGCCAGAGTGATAAAGCCGACTATGCTGAAAGATGAGCACCCGCCCCGCCTTGGGATCAACATCAACTTTCCTCTTCTCATCCCCGGACAAAAACGACGTCGCGCCGCCAACCAAATCGGCACCAATATCCTTGCCCGCCTCAGCGACAGAGTCGTTGAGGTAAAGATGAACGGTATAATGCGTTCGCAACACTGTTCCATCCTCCGCTTCTTCGCCATAGGGCCCGTCGCAATGCGCTATATCAAAGTCAGCAACCCGTGATAACAAAATCAAGGGGGGAGGGGGTGATAACTCACGCCTGAAGAACTGTCCCTTTTGATACTTCAAAAACCTCATCCGCTTATTGAACCTCTTAAACACCCAACTCGTCTCAAACCCCTTCCCAGGCCTCCTCACCCCCTCAATCCCAGCCAACTGCTCCTCTAACCCAGGCGCAAGCCTACACCGTCCCCACAACCGATCGACAACCTCCTGCTGGTCCCAGATAATCCGATCGCTGTTGCGGTACTCGGGCTCCAAGATCTCCCATCCGGGACCCATATTCACCATGGCCGGCCGCCACGGCTCGTCTTTGTCCGGGTCCGGGCCGCGATCTGTGGCCGAAGCCTCGGCCATGCGGAGGAGTTGTGCGCATTCGTCCGGGGTGAGGACGTTGTCTAGGACGACGGCATACAAGGGCCCGTTTTCGGGCAGGGCGGTCTTGGACCAGTCTAGTTTTTGGAGAGTCACGGCGGGCGCGGAGGCCGGGAGGGGGACGGAGAGGAAGTCGGGCGGGATGGGGACTTCGTTGGAGGTATATGATGTTTTTTGGGGTTTAGGGGCGGCGCGCTTGGGGGGTTTGGGCTTGAGAGCCGCGGGGATGAGGTCTGCGATTGGCATTATGTCGGATTTCCTTTCTTGGTAGGGAAAAATGGGCTCTTTGCTGGTTTTCTTTGGAAAATTTTGGGAAGTTTGGCTGTGGTGTTTGATATTGGTGGGTGTTGATGGCTGGTGGTTGTTGTGGTGATCGCTGTTGTTGGCGCTGTTGTTGAACGTCAACGGTAGCTCGATGTGTGGGTTCGGCCAACTACTTGAAGCTTGAAGACGCAATAGAAGACACATACACCATCTCTTTTCTCTAAGGGACATTTCAGCAGATATTTACAATGGGACAGAAATGCGACTGCCTAACAAAGATGTCAAGGCGCAAGCGTCAGGCTTCGCCTCCCAAATTGGTGAGTCGACAGAACTAACAGTGCGGCGGAGTACGGATTGGCCTCAGGTGGACGGACTCGAGGTATGTCAGCACTTGTCCCTGCCAAACTAAAACACACCAGCCTGCTTGGTTTCGGGAAATACGGAATAGAACAGACGTTTCTACAAGATTCAACTTGACCTCTCAAGAATCTGCCTCGACATATGCCTTGTAGACTCATAAATTGAGACGAAGACTGTTCAAGCGTGGATGCCTGCGACTGGCATGATGTAAGTGCCTATTGCGGGGTCAATCTCACGAAGCTGATTGGCTCTACATAATGCGTTCTGCGCTGAGTACGTCGTTGCCTTGAAGTCTTCAAGTCCCGAATACTTAGTGAAAGTTATAGTCTGCATGCCTTCTTTTTCGCGGAATGTCAAAGTCCATCTTTGTCGCTGTGCACTCCTATTTCCCTTCACGGGACCGGCATGTGGCCGCGAAATGGTGCTGCTAACGGCGCGGGCTACATCAACTGAGCTGTGGCGGGGGTGCCTAGTTGTGGCTGAACCAGATGAGAAGTGAAGGATTCTCGCAGAGGGACATCGTCTATCGTGTACAGTTGTTCATCGTATTCGTGAACAAATCACATGAACAGGATATGTAGCCCCAAACGACAAAGACCACCATGTGTCAAATCAACGATAGCTGTGTCCTTGTTCGAGGTACCGTTGACGTACTTCAAGGCACCTTAATTGCGTCAAAATGCCCCCCTCGCCTTTCCTCAGTACCATGAGAACATGCCGCGAATTTTGTTGTTTCACACTCTCTGAGGTTGATCTGTTGTCGCTCACATTGAAGTAAAAACTTCTATAATGACTTGAAGGACATTTCCACTGTTATGAGAATACACATCAATCTATATTATGTATCCTCCCTAAGGGCAATGAGATATCAATGAACATGGTTGGGAAACTTTCGTGAACAAATGACGGAGGCATGGCGAGACTCTGAGATTATATCACTAACCAAACTGGACGAGGAATATTTATGGGATTTGCCCTCGAAATAGACTTTCTCCTGCATTCTACTTGCCTACGTACACACAGAGTTCGAAAAACGTATATCTACAATGCTCATCCATTCTGATATCAACAATACCTCATGCCCAGGCCTCAGACCGGCTCATCATGTTCCCTCATGTTCCCTACCCCCTTACTCTCTTCAGCCTCCACCCCTTCATCCAACCCAGTTCTCGTCTCGGTATGCATCTCACTCAACTCAACCTGCCTTATGAAAAACGTGGCAACAAACCCAACACCAGACATGACGCAAAAGAAGATCCAAATCTTACTCAACCCATCCGTCACCGCAAGCCTCACAACCCGCCTCTGCCCCTCACTCAACCCCTCCATCACCCCACGCGCCGCCGCCGCAATCGTCCCTCCCTTCCCGAACTTGGCAGCCACCTCGGCCGGCACCCCGGCCGCGAACAACCGGCCCTCATGCCGTCCCACGACGCTCTGGAAAATAACTTGCCCGACAACCACCCCGATCCCCAGCGCGACGTGCCTCACAAACGCAAAGGTCGCCGTCCCCGTCGCCACATCCGCCTGCCTCACCAGCGCCTGCAACGCAATAAGCAACGCCTGCAGGTTGGGCGAGATCCCGAGCGCCGCGAGAACCTGAAAGAGGATCAACCGCGGCCAGTCCCGTCCCGCGGGCAACGTCACAAACAACCCAAACGCAATCGCCGTGAGAGCCATCGACACCCGCACAATCTCAACGTACCGCCCCGTCTTCTTGATCGTCACCCCGACGCCGATAGTGCACACCGCCAGCGGCAGCGCCGTGGCGAGGAGCCACACGCCCGACTGGATCGGGCTGGCGCCCAGCACCGCCTGGAAGTAGAGCGGTAGGAAAAACGCAATCGCCGCGAACCCGAGCCCGTGGCAGAAGTTGGCCACGTAGCAGAAGACGACCGACGCGTCGCGGAACAGCGAGGCCGGCATGAGAGGGTACTTTGCGAAGCGCTGCTCCACGAAGGCGAAGACGGCGTAGGTTGCGCAGCCGAAAACGATGAGACAGATGACGGTGGGCGAGTCCCAGGGATCCCGTAGCCCGCCAAACTGCAGCCCGAGGAGGAGCATCAACGTCGCTCCGGTGAAGGTGAGCGTGCCGAGCCAGTCGATGGCCGCCAGACCCTTGAGCAGCGGCGTCTTGGGCGTGTGTATGCGCAAGAAGAAGACGAGTATGAGCAGCGACGCGCCCGAGATGGGCAGATTGATCCAGAAGCACCACCGCCACGACACATTCTCCGTCAACCCGCCGCCGATGAGCGGTCCGATCCCGCTGGCGAGGCCCCAGACGGCACCAACGGCGCCGAAATACGCGCCCCTCTCACGCGGGCTGAAGAGGTCCCCGACGGTGATGTTCACCAGCGCCATCAGCCCGCCGCCCCCGAGCCCCTGGACCGCTCTCCCCGCGACCAGCATCAACAGCGTTCCGGAGAGCGCCGAGACGAGGCTTCCGACCATGAAAACGACGTTGGCGATGACGAGGATCGGTTTGCGGCCGAAGATATCGCTGACTTTGCCCCAAAAGGGGACCGAGGCGGCATTGGCGAGCAGGTAGCTCGCGCCGATCCAGGCGAATCCCGAGTCTGATGAGCCAATCTCCCGCGCGATCGTCGGTAGGGCGGTGGTGATGATGACGGCGTCGAGGGCTGCGAGGAAGACGGCCATGCAGAGCGCGAGCATCAGGATGACGGTCTGCGTCCGGGTGCGGGCCGGTGCGATCTTTGTGTCTGCCGTCGTCACGCTCCCTTCCCCTTGGTCATCGTCGACGCTCCTTCTTTTCTCCCGCACTCCTCCTCCTACTTTGCCATCTTGATCGTCGTCGTCGCGCGGACTCCTGTCGTGAGAAGATCTTTCTACTTCACTCGCCATCGTGAACAGCGAGATACCTTGTTTGTTCGGGTACACGACATGCTGCCCTCAGCGAGCACCACTTCCACCACCCACAACGCGGGACGGGCCTTAATATACATACTTTGAACTCCTCAGAGGAACCCTCGATGGAACACACCCCAAAGATGCCATGCTTGTTGTTGATTTGCCCAAATGTCCCAGTAGCTCTGCGGCACAGCCCTATGGCCCGCGCCGCTGCCGCCGCCGCCATTCACGAAGAGCACATGTTCCTCGACATGAATAGGACCATGGCTTTTCCCAGCGCGCCGGACTTTTGGCTGCTTCGGTACGACCCACATTGCCGCAATGCGAGGGCATTCGACCCAAGGTGGCAGACTGAGAGAGAGGCCGTTGGAGCAGAGGTGGCTGCACGGTGCATGCGCGGGAGCCACACTCCTCTCATCCCTTGCCTTATCCTTCACCTCTGCAATTTAAAAAAAAAGGTTCCGGATCTTCGGTCCTGGTTGGTGGCTTTACGAGAGCTGCCGTGGGGGCCGTTTCCAAAAGACCTCTCATTCGCCCAGACATCGCCAAGTCTTCACTCTTCCCATGAGAACCACCCCAAGAATGACGTGCCGCGAATAACGAGACAGTCGGCGCCACATCCAGAAAGTACCAAAGGGGAAATAGAGCAGAGGCTATCAAGCATAAGATTAGCAGAACCAACAGCCGTATAGCAAAATTGCCCGTCCCGTGGGTTGGATCTGCAAGGAAAAGAGAGGGAGAGACACGAAAACCCTGCCGTGTCGGGCCGGACTTACGCCTCTTCGTTTTCGTGGGCTGATGCCGAGCGAATGAGAAAATTCCAACGTCAGCTTCGCATCAGCTCCCAATGCTACTTGGGTTGCTCCAAAAGGATGAGGAGGGTGGGTATCCAAACAAAGGAGAACAATTCTCGCCCGTCCAGCCCATTCACTCGCACTTTCCAGCGCAACGTTGAACGAGGCAGGGGGAAAGCGCCCAATCCGATCGCGTAACCGGACACGGCGTGAGCACTATGTAGGCAGAATGCAAGGAACGGCGCGAAGCGCGAAAGCGGGAATAAGAAGGGGAGCTGATGGCGAAGGGGCTTGCTAGAGACTCAGCACTCTCCGTGTATACAAGCTGACAACTGCGTTTCTGATAGGCACGATTATGCGGATTGCCGACTACAGGAGTTCAGGCCGACGAGAAGTGACGAGTGTAAGTGTCTTTCGAACCTTCGTTGCAGGCGACGAACTTCGCCTTGCGTAACGGTTCTTGCAGGATGCAGACGCAGTTCGTCGCCATCATCGGTCGGGAATCCTATGATCCGGGGGAGCGTATGGAATGCGGTCAACGTTGTGGCGGGCGGGAACTCGTCTATTTTGTCTCCATCGAGCGTGCCTTCCTGAGAGTTGATTTTCTGCTGAGCGTCCAAGGTCCAATCTACATGAATCTCGTATTCATGTTCCCAACTCGCCTGTTGCGGCATCCCAAACGTTGACACGCGCGCGCCATGTGGTGACTCTTGATGCTCAGTGGTGCGGGTTACACACGTTGTCGGCCCGCCTACGAGCCTCGTGGGCCTCTCTGTCCTACCCGTGCATTCCCGAATGAGACCTTGACGGAACGAGCCATCGGTGGGAACTTGCATCGACGGCCTCGGGGACCGGGGCAGAGGGAAATGAGACTCAATTCTACGCTATGAAAGAATGACCAGCCATCATTGTTCCCTCCATGTTGCAACATCTGAGCTCGGGAGCTCGAAGCTGAGAAAGACAAGCACTATATATCGTATATCAAATTTGAATTCGCAAGCGCGCCCACGAGATAGGACTGGCGATAGCGCAGGAGCATTGTCGTCGTCGCTACCTCGGTTCAACACGCAGTCCCGGCGATGGCGTAGCAGCACTTTCGCGGTCGAGTGGCGAATATCTCGAACGACGGCGTATCTAAACACGTATGGGGTATCATCAAAATGCAAAAAACATAAACGGAAAACCTCCTCCATCACAGACTTGCAGCGTTTGTTTCCAAACCCTCCAAATTTCCACTCCTCCTCTTACTCCTGTTTTTTTGTTTCCCATGAGACGGACCATATTGCGATAGCGCAGCAGCATTGTCGCCAGTCATCGTCTCCAGTACCGTACGCCGTTTCCCAGCGATGGCGTAGAAGCACTGTCGCCGTCGAGGAATCCAGCCTCATTTCTCGCCGCTCTTCGCCTGTAGCACGGTGAACCTAGACTATTCCTCGGATGAAAAGCATATATAAACTTCGTATGGGCGTTGTATCATGAA